TCGACCGATTTTGGCAGGTGTGCAGTGCCCGACTACGAACATTGGATCTTACGTCACAAATCGGTTGAGTTCGACGGACTGAATAAGGCGGGCATTTTCACCCAGTCAGCGGGGCGTGGAATCGGCATGGCTTCTGAGATGACGTTCATGCATTTCCTGTTGTTCTTGTAGGTCAGTGCCGAAGTTCTTGATCAAAATTTTGGGGTGTTTATTTTGCCGATTCCACGCCAAGTGTTGTTTGATTGTGTTGTGTCCCACTCAAATGATACTGTTTGGTCGAGGCGTGCTTTTCGCCTCGTACGGCGTCTTTCGTTCTACTTTCTACTTCTTTTTTTATGCGGGGATGTGGAACTAAACCCGGGGCCGGCAGTTGACTCAAAATTACAACAACTTCTAGACGGTCAAAGTACTATTAAAGAGAAACTTTGTGCTATCGAGGTCGCGCAGGCGGAAAATCGAGTAGCAATAGGTGAGCTTGGTGGTCATAATGCTAGGTTAGAAACTAAACTGTCGAACATTGATCACCTGAACGGTGCAATATTAGACTGCGTTAAAATGTAGGAAAACCAAAAGAAAGAAATAGAGTCACTGACACGAAAAGTGGATGAGTTAGAGAACCGTAGCCGACGCCATAACCTCGTCTTTTATGGTGTAAAAGATACCGAAGCTAATGAAACAAGTAAAGAATCGGAGAAGCACATAACCCAGATATGTAGCTCCAAGTTGGGTATCCATTCTCTAGCTATAGAACGTGGGCACCGACTCGGGAAATTCCAAGTTGGCAGAAATAGACCGTTAATAGCGAAGTTTCTGCATTTGAAGGAAAAGCAAGACGTTGTTCATAACGTTAGTAAACTGAAAGGCTCAACAATTACTGCCTCTGAAGATTTGTCTCAGCAGGTACGTCAGAAAAGAAAAATACTGTGGGATTACGCAAAAACTCGCAAAAAGGAAGGTGAAAAGGTGACACTGAAATATGAAACACTGATACTGAATGGTAAAAAATATGGTTACGACTGCAGAGAAAGAGCACGTTCTAGCACTGCAATGACCTTGTCAATCTAGAGGAGTGAACCTTTCCTTCCTGGTAATTAACTGCAGAAGCATTAAAACAAAGTAGATGAATTTTGTGCATTTCTTCGGTTGACCGAACCGTCTGTGGTGCTTGGAACTGAATCTTGGTTAAATGATGAAATACGTGATGACGAGGTGTTTCCGATAGACTATACGTGCTACCGCAAAGATGGGAATGGTCATGGTGGTGGGGTATTTATTTTAGTTAAAAGTGACATAGTGTCTTCCAACCTTGACGTCGTCGGAGCATGTGAAGCTATCTGGTGTCAACTCGAGCTCGCTAATAAGAAGCTAGTAACTGTGTGTAGTTGTTATCGTTCACCTGATTCTCCCTAGACGTGATGTCACAGCTTGCAAGTGCCATTGATGAGGTGCATTCGGACTTCATGATTATCGGGGGGATTTTAACTTGCCAAACATTCACTGGCATGAGCACTAAACCACGATATTGCCATCTGGGGCATCTGCTCAGGAGATGATTAGTATCGCGAATCTGCATGCACTACACCAAATGGTACTACAGCCCACACGGGAAAATAATATCCTTGATTTAATTTTTACAATCCAACCTAGTTTCGTAACTGCTACTTACGTCCTGCCCGGGATTAGTGATCACGATGCTGTGCTATGTAAAATGAATGTACATTACGTTAAAACATCAGTGTGCGATCAAAGGCGCGTATACAATTATTCTAAAGCTAATGTTGAAAAAATAAATGAGTCTTTGGATAATTACTTTGTTGTATTTGAGACCATTGCGGAACAACTCGCATCAGTGAGTTGTGGATTCTTTTGAAAAACAAAATGACTGACTTACGTGATGCGTTTGTTTCATAGTGGCACTTAACGGCTAGGAAAGCGAAAAGTAAGCCGTGGTTCACAAAAGAACTGCGCAGACTTACACAAAAACGGTTGAGATGTTACCGTACTTTTTGTGATACACGACTGGTATCAATAAGTTACGACTGAAAAATGTAACACTTGAAGTTAAGACTTGCACCTTTAAAGCAAAACGTGATTACACTGAATCTTTGCAATCCCTTCTCAAAGTTAAATCAAAAGATTCTGGAAACATGTCAAAAGAAAGGTAAAGACAATGTGTCGATACCAACGCTTATTTCTGATGATGACGTCTTCCATGACGACATTGATACAGCTGAACGCCTCATTCGTTATTTCAGCTCTGTTTTTATGCCGCTGATAACACCCGGAGACGGTGATCCCCGCTTAAATCAAATACGAACTGATAGTATGGAGGATGTTTACATCAGCACGCACGGCATTCAAGTGTTATTGCAAAGATTAGACAGCTCAAAAGGGTGCGGTCCAGATGGCCTCACAAGCACGTTTCTTAAGCTTTGTGTGCCAACACTAGCGCTGTTTTTAAAGGTACTATTTGATAAATCACTTCTAAATGCCAGCTTTCCTTCAGATTGGAAAAAAGCAATGATTGTCCCAATACATAAGTCTGGTCCACGGAGTGACGTCTCTAATTACCGACCAATATCGCTGACTAGTGTGGCATGTAAAATTCTTGAGCACCTAATATATACCTGCATTGTTGAACATATGAATAAGTACTCACTATTTACGCCACAGCAACATGGGTTTCGAAGAGGTATTTCTTGTACTACCCAATTGACAGAATTTACGAACGACATAGCATACGCGTTGGACAAAAGAAAAACAATTGACTGCATTTTTTTAGACTTCAAGAAGGCCTTTGATACTGTCCCCTACCGTTTACTTCTTGAGAAAATGACTGTATGGCATTAATTCACAGGTCGTCGCATGGGTCGCTGATTATTTAACATTACGCCAGCCGACTGTAATCGTTAATGGTGCCAGTTCATGTGCATTGCAGGTAACATCAGGCATCCCCCAAGGGTCGGTACTGAGACCGCTTTTATTTCTGATTTACGTCAACGACATAACTGAGGGCGTAGAATCCCACATACGGTTGTTCGCAAATCACTGTGTTTTGTATAGGGAAATTACGGATTCGCGGGACAAAGCGTTCATTCAGAGAGACTTGACCAAAATCAGTGATTGGTATACACGATGGCACATGCAGTTAAACTTGAATAAGACTGTTTACATGGAGTTTACTCGTAAGAAATTACAGTCTCAGACATCGTACACAATTAACAATGTCATTATAAGTAAGGTTAATGAATACAAAGACTTAGGAGTGTACCTATCTTCTAACTTAAATTGGCAGTGACATGTTAACCACGTAACAGGCAAGGCTGGGAAAGCGCTTGGGTTCCTTCACCGTAACGCAAAGAACTTTAATATGTCGACTAAGGAATTGCTTTATAAAACATATGTGCGTTCCGTTCTTGACTATGCGTGTGTCGTCTGGGACCCCTCAACAGTATGTGACACAGAAAAACTTGAAAAGGTGCAGAACTTGGCCACTCGATTTGTTTGTGGATGTTACGACAGAGAGTTCAGTCCTACGCTTGTCCTACGCTAGATTGTCTTATGCTAGATCCAACGCTAGATTATTGAAGACGCAGACTTCGCTTGAAGTTTGTCCACAACATCTTTCATTCATAAGTTGGCATTGATAGGCATCTTTACATAAAGGCACCTAATTACTATTCCCATAGGGTTGACAATAAGAATAAGGTTATAGAATTTCCCTGCAGAACACATTCCTTTAGCAAGTCTTTTTTTCCTAGAACAGTACGGGACTGGAATCAATTTGACAAGTCTGTCGCAACTATATCGTCTAATGGCATATTTTTTTCACCGCTAAAATAATTCTTGTATTAGAGTTTCTGTTCACTCATGTTACTGCTAGTGATGGCTGCTATATGCTTGCAATTGTATTTTCCTTTATTGTACATTCTTGTTCATGTAATTATGCTTTTATCACAATAATACACTTCATTGTTAAATATAATGTATTCTTGTTTACTTGAAATCTTGTTTTTTTTTTTTTTGCACAATTATTCACACTGGTGCACATTAGTGTACACTCGGGATCTTCTTTTATGTGTATTTGTTTTCCTGATGCTGCTAGCGATTGTTACCAACTGTATGGTAGGCTTTGAATTTTTCTTTGCATCCCCCCCACTGTAATGCCATGTGGCGCTGTGGGTATGCCATAAATAAATAATAGCTGGCCTTCCCTCAGATCTACCATGTGTGTTTACTTTGCAGCGCCATGAATACGCACACGGTAATACACGATGATCTAGGTCATGTAAGCAGTACACAGCATATGCACAACTCTAGACACAAATGAAACATACACAGAAACATACAAATGGAGACAACAAATGTAAACACAAGTGAACACCAGCGCTGCTTCGCATCCCTACATAGTTCCCTTTAGTCCGAGATGGTGGGATTTTTTTTTCTTTCCTTCTTCCTTTGTTCGGTCACTTCGCATCTTCTCCTCTGTAATGACATATTCGCTCGCTCCCCAGCGATGAACTCAGTGCGTCTTCTTTCAGATGCACACTGGCTACCATGTCTGTCTCATAGATTTTTTGGCAACCAATTAAAACCGGTATTTCATTTGGAGGACTGCACAATAAGCGGCGTGCGTATCATGAGATTTTATGGGGGAAGAGGGGGGGGGGGGGGGGCAGGTGGTAAAATGGAGTTGAAAAACACTATTCTAACCAGTCCTGCACTATAAGTGGTGGTTGTAAGTGGTCTGCTCTCTTTGTGTGTGCGTGCATGTGTTCAAATTTGTTTTTCACTCAAAGTTTTGCTATTCGTACAGCTCTCATATTATATTTTAGTCTTGATTACAGAGTGCGGTAATTTTCGAAATGGTTCTGTGGTGGAGCTGGTAGATAGTTATAAACGTCCATTTTTATATCTGAATCGAAAAGGCAAGCACAATTTTTTGGGGAACATGAGTTGTGTTTTTCCCTCTCAATTTTTCTATTCTATTTTTCTTTCAGGGCCTCGACGTAATAGAGTCCACCAACCTGAAGTACTTCGCGAGAGACATGACGGCGGAGTTCTATGCACTCAAGGGTCTTTTCCTGACTCAGATGGGTCGCTCAGAGGAGGCCAACAAAGCGCTGAGCGCATCTGTCCAGTTGCACGACACGCTGGTCAACGGGTGGGCCCTGTGGGGTGACTACTTTGAGGGCCTGTTTGGCCGTGACCGCTGGGACTCACGGCAGCTGCCTCTGGCTGTGTCGGCACTCACCTGCTACCTGCACGCCTGCCGCCATCAGAGTGAACCCAAGGGTCGCAAGTACATGGCAAAGGTGCTCAGCCTTATCTTTTTTTGCTTGGAGCTTATGCAGTCTATGCTCATTGTAACAGATGCAACACATTTCTGATACAATGGGCCATTATTCAGCTCAGGTTCAGCCCAAATTAATGGAGCAGGGTTCACTATTAATAGACCTCAATATACAGGCTATGGGCTACAAAGGAGGGAATTAGCGTCTTTTTCTTTTTTCACCAAAATAAGGCACATAAATAGGCTTGTGCAAATATTCACATGCTTCCACTATTCGATTGAATAGTAGAGTGTTTTTATCCGCATCGATTCGAATTTAAATAAATGAAAATTTCTAAGTATTCGCAATGAACTAATAGGTATATATATAATAATCCGCATGTAACCTTCTGTAAAGTGGTTTCACTTTCAGTGTGGATGCTAAGCTGTGATTGCACCCATCCAAAGGAACGAAAGCCACTCTGCCGCAAAGCCCCACTAAAAAAAAGCTAAAGGGGCCTTGCAACACTTTTTTAGCATGGGCAGAAAACGCTGCCTATTGGTATTCGAGGCTATGGAAAACACGCGAGCCAAATATTATAGTGCAGTATGCAGCCTACAATTCAAAATAAATTCTCAAAGTCGGCTAAAACTTGCTTTTTCATTTCTCAACAAATGACGCTAAAGCCTAAAAATCGCTCGTCACAGCCATTGTATCCTCCATTGGCTGATGTGAGCATGGCGCACTTTGTCATTGCTCTGGCTGCTGCAGGAGGCCGTAACTTGTCCCTGTGTGCGTGCACGGTTGCACTGAAAAGCCATGTATTCGAAGAAAAAAAAAAGAGAAAAAGTACTTAAGGTCACGCATGCAACTGACTAGCCCAAGAGACCACGTTGTGAGATCACCTGCTCCTCATGCGTGCCTTGCTCGACAGGTGCTGTGGCTGTTGACGTACGACAATGAGCAGAATGTCCTGGCCGAAACCGTGGACAAGTACAATTCAGGGGTGCCTCCGCTGCAGTGGCTGCCGTGGGTGCCCCAGCTGCTGACGTGTCTCGTGCGCCCCGAAGGGCGGCAGCTGCTCAATCTGCTCGTCCAGGTTGGCCGGGTCTATCCACAGGCTGTGTACTTCCCCATTCGCACACTCTACCTCACTCTCAAGATTGAGCAGCGTGAGAGATGTATGTACCTGCTCGGCATGTCTTCTTGCATGTGTAAGCTTCCTTTCATATAATGTGGTGCTCCTGGGTAACCCTAGAAGTGTTTTCAAGCCTGATGGTGGGCTGGCCCTTCGCAAACCATGGCCTTTGATCCGAAATTTATACAAACCTGAAACTTCCAAAAAGATGTTACGGATATTTCTCGTAAAATTTTCTGATACAGTTAGACAATTTAAAGATGGAGGCTACTCTTGAGACCAAACTTCTTTTTTTTTGACACATCTGCATGAAAATCTCAGGGCATTTTTTCTACACTAAGACTAGAGCAACTGCACATTTCCACAAGGTTGTGTTTTTAGTTCCAGAGTTATTGAGGTTTAACTGGCCTGCTCACGTGGGTGCCTGAGGAAGAGTCATGAGAAATACCAACACATAGCAGAAAGCTGAAATTCATGAAACTCATTGTAGTCATTGTTTGATAGATATGCCAGAGTGCTACAAAGGCTTCCTCCTCCAAAAAATTTTCATGCAACTTTGAGTTAGATGTAGCTAATAATTATGAGATTCTTTACATTTTAATTGTTTATTAGAAATAACGACACCAATTTAAAAAAAAGGGGGAGGGGGGAGCTCATTGCACCCTGGCAATGTTATTCAAAAACAAAGAAAGAAACAGACAACATATTCGATGAGCAGTCTTTGAGTTTTGGCTTTATTCAGTACCACAACTAGAAAATAAGTTTATTCTGAGAAAATGGGCCTAGAAAGTTCTGCACTTCTGTTTTCTTCCAAAAGTTTATTGAGCAAAGTTTTGATGCACTCTTTTCTTTCGCCTCATCTACACCTTCTTTTGGTAATGTTTGTAACTTATTTTTACACGTAAAGCATTGAAGTGTGGGGTCCGGCGATCTCTGATACACTCAGCATCGGGCTCGATAGCACCAATTCGAAGCGTGTACCGAGTCTGATGATCTCGAAAACACTCACTGCATTTGCGACTCGCCCCGCCGCGAAGGTCTAGTGGCTAAGGTACTCGGCTGCTGACCCGCAGGTCGCGGGATTGAGGCGGCTGTGGCAGCTGCATTTCTTATGGAGGCGGAAATGTTGTAGGCCCATGTGCTCAGATTTGGGTGCACATTAAAGAACCCCAGGAGGTCGAAATTTCTGGAGCCCTCCACTAACGCATCTCTCATAATCATATGGTGGTTTTGGGACGTTAAACCTGTAGGGTCTCGGCGAGGCGAACAAGCGCCAGTGGGGGGTCTCGGCGAGGCGAACGAGCACCTCGCCACGCCACGCTCTTGGAGTGAACGGACACAGCAGACGCGGTCGGTAAAAAGCACACAACATACATACATTTATTAACTAATTTAGACGACGATATCGTCCGCCGAATGTTACATCAATTATGATTAACACGCTACCATACAAACAACATAATGCAGTGACACACTAAACACACAATAACATGATAAACACACACAAATACATACCCAAGGCAGCGTAGCCAACGCATGACTTTCCACGTGGGACCCCGGCGCGAAGACCGCGGTGCCGAGCACTGGGAACCCACGCTACAGACAACCGTTCGCGGCAGCCGCCACGCGCAGAAGAGACTCGCTCAACGCTCGCCCACCACGAAGGCCTGCCTTCCGCCAGGGGCCACCGCCGGCGCCACCACTCCACCAACAGTGGTACTCAAAGCGAACACAACGCCATCTATTGCCCGGCGGCGGTCACCACCGAAATAAAGCCTTGGGGCGAGACACGTGCGCCACGCGGCGCAGACAACTTTACAGGGGGGTGTCAGCACCCCCACATTCCCTCAACCTTAAATCAAACCATATCCCGAAATCAAAAATTAGCTACACAAGCTTTAACAAAAAAATGATATCGCACGACCATAATGTCCTTGCACCATGACACCGCCGCTGGTCGACACTGCTGCACTGTCCGGCTAGACTTCACCTCAGTGCCGGCCCCGCAATAGCAACGTTACCATCGGCGTGACGATCCGTCGCTAGCACCGACACGTCTTCCAGTTGCGACCAGCACTCGCGAGGGCGCCGGACTGCAGGTAGTTGCGCAGGTCCCAGGCATCTCCATCGCCCGACCTCACGATCGCATTCCTGGCCAGCGACGCTTACAATGTGCAAGACAGCCGGCCGTGCATGACATCCCTCCCGCTGAATACATCAATAACAACAACAAAAAACTTGAAAGCAAACAATCGAGCAGGTCCTCGGGAAGGGAGCTTCGAGCTTTTCGTCCACGTGGTACGTTGGTCAGTACTGCTAGCTAATACATCGGTGGCGGCCGAGACGCCCATCAAAATAAAACAAAAATCACTTTTCCTAACTCGTGCTCACAAGAAAAAAAAAAGTGAGGGAAGCAGAGCGCAACACCTCAACGCCACGATCCACCTAGTTGTGCCACGTGTGACAGGCGGCTGCGCAGAGCCTTAGGCCTAATGAGTCGCTCGGCAACAACCGGCATCCACCCAGCACCCAGCCTAGGCGCAGAAGAGGCAGCCGCGAGGAGACGTCCACTCTGTGAGGTGGCCCTATCGCTCGCCGCACACAGCAGCTTACCGAGCGATCGGCGTCCACCGCCCCGGGTGGTGTCACGACGCCTCAGCGTCGAGCCGCAATACCAGACAGCAAGGACGCCCGGCTCCCTGAGCCCAAAGATATAGAAGAAGCTATTTACAGAAAATCGGACCACCCACGAGGCTTCCGTACTCACTCGCTTCAGGCCTGGCCTACAAACCACGTGCTCTAGGCCTTGCTCACCCCAAGATGCGGACCGCATGGCTCTCGTCCTAATTCAACAACGTTTTTGAAAACTAACAACAACAAAAAATAACAACACTTGCGAGCCAAAAAAAAAATAAATAGAAAGTCAACCTGCCGACAAATTCAAACACGTTACAAAACCAATCTCCTCGCTTCTCAACAAAGCACAACCCCGACGCTAGCAAAGAAGTCCCCCCTAGGCCTACTCTACTCCGGCTCTAACAAAATCCCTGTATTTAACCGCAAAAACTGTCGTCCGATACTCCAAGAGCTCCACGTTGGGCAGCCAGTGTTGGGTCTTGGCGAGGCGAACGAGCGCCTCGCCACGCCACGCTCTTGGAGTGAACGGACACAGCAGATGCGGTCGGTACAAAGCACACAACATACATACATTTATTAACTAATTTAGACGACGATATCGTCCGCCGAATGTTACATCAATTTTGATTAACACGCTACCATACAAACAACATAACGCAGTGACACAATAAACACACAATAACATGATAAACACACACTAACACATACCCAAGGCGGTGTCGCCAACGCATGACTTTCCACGTGGGACCCCGGCGCGAAGCCCGCAGCACCGGGAACCCACGCTACAAACAACGGTTCGCGGCAGCCGCCACGCGCAGAAGAGGCCTTGATGGTGGGCTCAACACTCGCCCACCACCAAGGCCTGCCTTCCGCCAGGGGCCACCACCTGGCGCCACCACTCCACCAACAGTGGTACTCAAAGCGAACACAACGCCATCTATCGCTCGGCGGCGGTCACCACTGAAATAAAACCTTGGGGCGAGACACGTGCGCCACGCGGCGCAGACAACTTTACAGAAGGGGTGTCAGCACCCCCACAAAACTCACAAATGAATCAGTCAATCAATGCATTTGCGACTCGAGCCATGTGTCGGATTCTCAAATGGCGACTACTGACAGCACAGTTCTGCTGTAGCAAGCATCTACGAAGTTGTCACTCGCAAAAGAATAGCAGAATCTGGATGCTCGTACAAATTGTATAGCGCGCTTCCGCGTACATGACCTCCGAACTGTCTTCGGCTTCACTACTGTCATCGGGCATAACAACAAAGACGAAAGAACTACAGTCAACTGCCGCTTTTTCGGACCCTCTAGGGAGCGAAAAACCATCCGAAAATTCAGGCAGTCCGAAAAAATGAATGCAAGCAAAAAAAAACGCATTATTTTACTGATAATTTTCAATGCTAGTAAAAAAACGCATCATTTTGCTAATATTTCTCAATGCAAGAAAAAAAACACATCATTTCATTGATATTTCTCGGATCAAGCAGGTCAAGGTCGAAGTACCAGATTTCCGGAACTCTGCCAAAGCATCAGTGGGGTGGCTCTGAATAGAGCCGTTAAAAAATGCATGCAGCCGACAGCGGGTGCCATCAGGGCAGCCGGTGTTAGAGCTGCAGTAGCTTGAAAAGCTTGTTGATCCTTGTTTGAATGGCGTTTCGCTTGCATGTGATCACATTTGCCTCGAACTGAGCAAGGGTCATGTCATCACTGTACACCAATGACAGCATCATCAGTGATCGCATCAATGCAGCGGTCGTAGGTGGTGCAGGCATCCGTTCCTCTTATTCGACATCGGAGTCATCTGAATCCACCATAACCTGATTGATTATTTCGCTGTTGGTTAGCTCTGCGCAGAGGTCGAGCTCGTCAGCGTCGATGAACTGCTCAAAAGTTATTTCAGTGGGGATGGAAGCACCAGCAGAGCGGAAGTCGTTGATAATATCGTCCATGAGAGGGCGCAATTCTGTCACGCTGTCACTTTCTTCAGGCAAGTCTGCTGTCTCTGTGTCGAGTACGAAGCCCACGTGGCGAAAGCAGTTGCGAAGCGTGTCTTGCGTATCCGCCTTACATGCGTCCGCAAGCATTCCGACAGCAGACCAAAGGTCAACGTTGTAGCCTTTCCCGTTTTCCGAGCACGGCACCATGCTGTTGAGTACACGTGAATGGTACAAAAGTTTCACATTACAGATAACGCTTTGGTCCATCGGTTGGAGGATCGCAGTCGTGTTGGGCGGCATCCTGCTGGATAGTCTTCAAGTTATTGATGTGAGCATGAGCAGCGCAGTTGTCAACGAAGAGCAGAAGACGCCTGTTCTGTTGTTCAAACTTCCTGTCCAACTTGCGGACGTAACTCTCGAACAACTGCTGCGTTACCCATGCCTTTTTATTGGCTTCATATATCAC